TTCCACCTCCGACAGGGGAAGAGGAGCGCACAGGAGTTCGCCCTGGAATTCTGGACTCTAGCGGCGGATGCGGGGTGGAATGAGCGGGCCCTCATCGACCACTATCGATGCAGTCTACTGGAGGACGTTCGTCGAGAGCTGGCCTGCAGGGACACCAACCTATCGTTCGACCAGTTGGTGGACATGTCCATCCGTCTCGACACCCTGCTGGCCACCCGCGGACGTCCCGAGTGGGGGCCGTCCATTCCACCCTCCAGCACCTCCGAGCCGAGCCCTATGGAGCTCGGGGGTGCTGGCGCTAGAGAGAGGAGGAGAGGGAGCCCGAGGGGGGCCGTCCCCTGCACCAACTGTGGCCGTGGAGGGCACACTGCGGCTAGGTGCTGGGGAGGGTCTCCAGGGGAACGGGACAACAGGCCACGCACTGGGGAGGCATTTCAGGTGAGTAGGCGCCCCACTTACCCAGAGCTCTCTGTTGTTCACTTATGTATACCTGTAAGATTTCCTCAGGTTGCACCTCATTCCCAGCATAAGGCGCTAGTCGATTCAGGCGCAGCTGGGAATTTTGTTGATCGGAATTTGTGTGTAAGGGATTCCCCTCCTTCCTGTTGATGCTCCCTTCCCTGTCCATGCACTAGATAACCGCCCGTTGGGATCGGGGTTGATTAGAGAGGTCACAGCACCACTTAAGATGAGTACGCAGGGGGGTCATGAGGAAACTATTCAGTTATATCTGATCGACTCTCCTGCGTATCCTGTGGTGCTGGGGCTTCCCTGGTTAATTACCCATAATCCCTCCATTTCGTGGCAACAGAGGGCTGTCACGGAGTGGTCTGCCCAGTGTGTAGGGCGATGTCTAGGTGTTTCCGTGGGGGCGACCTCGGTGGAGAGTCCGAACCAAGTGCCCGCAATGCACATTCCCCCTGAGTATGAGGATTTAGCACTCGTGTTTAGCAAAACGAGGGCGACGCGGTTGCCTCCTCATAGACAGGGGGATTGTGCGATAGACCTCCAGACAGGAGCAGCGCTTCCGCGGAGCCATGTGTATCCTCTGTCTCAAGAGGAGAAGGTGGCTATGGAGACATACATAGCCGAGTCTCTGAGACAGGGATACATACGGCCCTCCACTTCCCCTGCGTCCTCGAGTTTCTTTTTTGTGAAGAAGAAGGATGGAGGGTTGCGCCCGTGTATTGATTACCGTAGTCTCAATCAGATCACTGTGAAATACAGTTATCCACTCCCTCTGATTGCGAGTATGACAGAATCATTACACGGAGCGCGTTTCTTCACAAAACTGGATCTCAGGAGCGCCTACAACTTGGTGCGCATTAGGGAGGGAGATGAATGGAAGACAGCATTTAGTACCACCTCGGGTCATTATGAGTATCTCGTCATGCCATACGGTTTAATGAATGCTCCTTCAGTCTTCCAATCCTTTGTGGACGAGATCTTCCGGGACATGCATGGGCAAGGTGTGGTAGTGTACATTGACGACATTCTAGTGTACTCTTCTACCCAAGCCGAGCATGTAGCCCTGGTGCGCCGAGTGTTGGGGAGGCTGTTGGAGCACGACTTGTATGACAAGGCAGAGAAATTTCTGTTTTTCCAGGAGTCTGTCTCCTTTTTGGGTTATCGGTTGTCCGCGTCAGGGGTGAAGATGGAGGTTGACCGTGTGTCAGCCGTGCGTAATTGGCAAACCCCAACCACGGTTAAAGAGGTGAAGCAGTTTTGGGGTTTTGCCAATTACTACCGGAGGTTTATCCGGGGTTTTGGACAGGTGGTAGCTCCCATAACTTCCCTGCTGAAGGGGGGCCCGGAGCGTTTGCAGTGGTCAGCTGAGGCGGACAGGGCATTTGGGAGACTGAAGGACCTGTTCACTTCGGCTCCGGTGCTGGCGCATCCGGACCCCACTTTACCATTCCAGGTAGAGGTGGACGCGTCAGAGGCCGGTATTGGGGCCGTACTGTCGCAACGGTCCGGCACGCCACCTAAACTCCGCCCCTGTGCTTTTTATTCCAAGAAGCTCAGCCCAGCGGAGCGAAATTATGACGTAGGGGACAGGGAGCTGTTAGCCGTGGTACAGGCCCTAAAGGTGTGGAGGCATTGGCTTGAGGGGGCTCAACACCCTTTTCTCATTTTGACTGACCACCGTAACCTGGAGTACATCCGGGCAGCTAGGAGATTGAACCCTCGTCAGGCTCGGTGGAACATGTTTCTAACCCGGTTCGTATTTAAAATAACTTACATCCCTGGGTCCCAGAACGGTAAGGCAGACGCCCTGTCCCGGCGGTATGACACAGAGGAGAGGTCCATTGGGCCCACTCCCATACTGCCGGAGTCTTGTCTGGTGGCACCGGTGGTGTGGGAGGTCGATGCGGAAATCGAGCGGGCGTTGCGTACCGACCCTAGTCCCCAGAGTGTCCTGTGGGTCGGACGTACGTTCCGCTCGAGGTTCGGGATCGTCTGATTTATTGGGCTCATACGTCCCCCTCCTCTGGACATCCAGGTATTGGCCGGACAGTGCACTACCTTAGCGCTAAGTACTGGTGGCCAACGTTAGCTAGGGATGTGAGGGTTTATGTCTCCTCCTGCTCGGTGTGCGCCAAGTGTAAGGCGCCTAGACACCTGCCCAGGGGGAAGTTACAACCCATGCCCGTTCCACAACGGCCATGGTCTCACCTCTCGGTGGATTTCGTTACAGACCTTCCCCCCTCTCAGGGGAATACCACTATACTGGTCGTTGTGGATCGGTTCTCTAAGGCCTGTCGTCTCCTCCCAATGCCGGGTCTCCCTACTGCCCTACAGACCGCTGAGGCACTGTTCACCCACGTCTTTCGGCACTACGGGGTGCCCGAGGATATAGTGTCTGATCGAGGTCCCCAGTTCACCTCCAGAGTCTGGAGGGCGTTCATGGAGCGCTTGGGGGTCTCGGTGAGCCTTACCTCGGGGTACCACCCAGAGAGCAATGGGCAGGTAGAAAGAGTGAACCAGAATGTGGGTAGGTTTCTGAGATCTTATTGCCAGGGCCGGCCGGAGGAGTGGGCGAGGTATATCCCCTGGGCAGAGATGGCACAGAACTCTCTCCGCCACTCCTCCACCAACCTAACCCCTTTCCAGTGTGTGTTGGGGTATCAGCCGGTTCTGGCACCATGGCATCAGAGCCAGATCGAGGCTCCTGCGGTGGATGAGTGGGTGCAGTGCTCGAAGGAGACGTGGAACGCTGCACACGTCCATCTGCAGCGGGCCATCCGTCGACAAAAGGCGAGCGCCGATCTCCACCGCAGTGAGGGTCCGGTGTACGCACCTGGAGATCGAGTCTGGCTCTCGACTCGAAACCTGCCCCTCCGCCTGCCCTGCCGGAAGCTGGGTCGGCGGTTTGTGGGGCCATTTAAAGTCCTGAGGAGATTGAACGAGGTGTGTTACAGGTTACAACTGCCTATTGATTATCACATTAACCCCTCGTTCCATGTGTCTCTTCTCAGGCCGGTGGTAGCTGGTCCACTCCAGGACTGTGAGATAAGAGGGACTCCTCCGCCCCCACTGGACATCGAGGGGGCTCCGGCGTACACAGTTCGGTCCATCTTGGATTCGAGACGTCGGATGGGGGGGTCTCCAATATCTCGTGGAGTGGGAGGGGTACGGCCCGGAGGAACGGTGCTGGGTGCCGAGGAGGGACATCTTAGATCCATCTCTCCTGACTGAGTTCCACCGTGGTCATCCCACGCGCCCTGCTCCGCGTCCTCCTGGTCGTCCCCGAGGCCGGGGTCGGCGCACGGCTGGAGCCGCGCGTCAAGGGGGGGGTACTGTCACGGATTCGGCCGAGGCTGCTCCTCCTCCTTGCTCGGGCAGGCTTCGGCGTTCGTCGTCCCCGGAGTACTAGCTGCCACCGTTGAATATTATCGATGTTTGTTTGGTTTTGTCTTCCTTGTACACCTGTTTCCATTTAGTGTTCATTATGTCCCCTTTAAGTTTCTCGTTTTGTTTGTAGTTAGTTGTGTGTAATTGTTCGCCTGTCTGTTGGGGTTTGTTGTATTTTTGCATTCTCGTATTAAGAGTAGTTACGCACTGTTTGCGCATCTCTTGTATATAGTGTTTTACGCACGGTCTGCGTATCACTCGCCTCCGTCGTCTGAGGCTCTTTATTTTGTATTTGTCCTTTTTCATGACTAGTAAAGTCTGTTTGGATTAAGCTTCTGTGTCCTGCGCCTGACTCCACCACCACATCGACATCAGTACCATTGACAGGCTGTAAGTAAGCATTTCACTGTAATGTCTGCACCTGTTGTATTCGGCGCATGTGGCCAATAAAATTTGATTTGATTTGACCCCCATTTCCTCCAAAACACAATGCAATAGAGGCAGGATACCTGTCCACATGATTAAGCATGTATTTAATGTAGCAAAAATGACTAACTAATTTGACCAAATTAGCAGTTATTGCCTTTTTGATTGGTAGGGCAGTACAGTAGTTGCAGTGGTAACCAAACAAACAGACTTGCTAGTTTAGCTAACCAAACCATCAGTCCTAGCTTGCTATTATGAAAATCGATTTCAACAATACCAGTAATGTTTTCAATTCGACTTTTGCTTTCAAAAGCAGCTCAAACACATGTAAAAATGAACTATAGCCATTGAATTCTAATGTGCAAACATACCGTGCGTTATAGGGAAATAATGCACACTCTAGAATGCCCTTCAAGTCAATCAGAAAGGAGTATTCAACAATGCCATGGTATAAAACATATGACACCTTTATCTAATTACGTTGGTAACCAGTTTATAATAGCAATAAGGCACCTTGGGGGTTTGTGGTATATTGCCAACATACCACATCTAAGCTTTGTATCCAGGCACTCCACGTTGCGTCGTGCGTAAAAACAGCCCTTCGCCGTGGTATATTGGCCACCTACCACACCCCCTCGGCCATTATTGCTTAATTATATAACGGCACCTTATCTTATATAATATAATCTTACCTTATCTATGTGAGGGTGCCAGTACTCGTCGTGCTGTGTCTTGGCCAGTGTGCTGTTGATGCGTGAGAAGAAGGTGGGCTTGGTGAGGTATAGAAGAGACGGGTCCAGGTCAAATGTCTCCGCTATCACTGCCTGAATACGACCACGCACCTCCCTGTAGGGTGGAAGTAATCAATCAACCAATAAAACAATCAATCAGTCCATCTATCAATTAATGAACATTATTCATACAGAGCTTCTTACAATTGTGCTTAACAGTAACTTGGGCCTGTAAACATAATTCACACAGACAGACAGACAGACAGACACACACACACACACTAGGGGTGCACGATTGGTACAAAATATGTCATTGCAATTTTTTGCGCCAGATATTGCAATTGCGATTATGAATTGCGATTTTCAAACACTTCGGGTAAAACTTGGTAATTCCATCAGACATGGTTAAACCAACTGTCAGGGTAGAGAACATCACTTCTAAAATGAGATCGTATGAATTAATACATGTGCTAACTGGATACAAAACCAAATGAAACAAATATTTTTCAACATTGTTATACATATGATAATTGATAGGATTATTACACCTACATATTAACAAACATTCATTTTTAACATGATCATCAAAATATAGCGCACTATAAGCGCAACACTAATTCATTAATAATATTTTGAGATCCCATTTCCTATTTTACCAGTATGAGTTGTTAAATAACCTAAGTTAATTATGTATTCAGGCAGCCATGGGCTGCAGTGAAAGTGCCTTAAAAACATGACATGTAGCCTACCGTTTCCAAAACATTGGAGTTTGGTCCAGTCATTCAATGCGATGGCCTTTACCACGTTTGGTCCAGTCATTCAATGCGATGGCCTTTACCACATTTGGTCAAGTCATTCAATGCGATGGCGTTTACCACATTTGGTCCAGTCATTCAATGCGATGGCCTTTACAACATTTGGTCCAGTCATTCAATGCGATGGCCTTTACCACATTTGGTCCAGTCATTCAATGCGATGGCCTTTACCACATTTGTGCCGTTATCGTTATGCACACTTGCTGCTCCTCATTCAGGGTTTGCACTAGTTACCACAGTCACAAAGTCAAAATTGCCTTATCGTAGAAATTCATGAAAACAAACATTTGCTTTTTGGTCTTAATTTAAAGTCAGGGTTAGGCATAAAGTTAGGAGTTAAGCTTAGGATTAGGTTTAAAATCACATTTTAAAAAGATACATTTAAGAAATAGGTGGGGTTTATGACTTTGTGGCTGTGGTAACTAGTGACAACCCCTCATTCAGGCCCCCAGGCTAAAGCTTCTCTCAACCCCAGAGTGATTTTTTCTCCCGTCTGATCTCCGAGGAAATAGCCTATGATGTTTGCAAGCGCTGACCTTTCAGTTGAAACTACTCATCAAATGTAGGGCTTGGTTGTTCTACTAGACCAAAGGTCTGTTGTAGTTGCGTAATAATCAACACGTGTGAGCTCTGTTTCAACTTCTCCCTTAATTTTGTTATACAGTTTTGGGAGGGTCCAGCTTGTTAATCATCTTCAGTTTGTTTATCATCTTCTTGAAGCCATTTTTGCTGACAGTGTAAATAGGAATTATGTCTTTGGCTATGTGATAGATAGGTGATAGCCTCAGTGATTCGTAGGGTGTTACACTTTAAAACGCATTGGCAATTGCGCATTGGCTTGCGACTCGAACAGGTTTACGTCGGCTCTCCCGAATCATTCCCATATAAGCAGAATGATGTCGGGGTGTAAATGCCACTCATTGTCTCCCTCGAGACATGAGGTCTCCTCCTTCGTTGAGGCCTCCTGTAGCTCAGTTGGTAGAGCATGGCGCTTGCAACGGCAGGGTTGTGGGTTCGATTCCCACGGGGGGCCAGTATGAAAAATGTATGCACTCACTAACTGTAAGTCGCTCTGGATAAGAGCGTCTGCTAAATGACTAAAATGTAAAATGTTGAGACCCCCCGGGATATGACGGGCTGTCAATGAGAAGGCACCCATGCGCCCACAACCATAGTCTCTCTGCCAGCTGGTGGAGCGTAAGAGACCTGACCCCTCCTTGGCGATTGATGTATGACACTGTTGTTCGGTTGTCTGACCAGACCAACACATCGCGGCCCTGAAGCATATGAGCGAAATGTTGTAGAACTAACAGCACCGTCTTTAGCTCTAGGAGATTGATGTGGTGGTCTCCACTGCTCGAGTCTGGCACATCCCCCCCATCCAGTCTGTATAGACTGGAAAGTGAGAGGAGACTCTCCCCATCAGGACTCTGTGTGTGAGTATACACAGGTCTCTCCAATGGTTCAGGTCCGCTCTGAGGCTGTTGGGAATGACTAACAGCCAGTGAGGTGACGCGCAGGGTCTAAGCGCAGCCGGGCAAACCATCGTTGTAGCGTGTGTATGTGTAGCAACCCCAACGGGACTAGTGTGGGCTGACGACATGATTCCCAACAGTATGACACTGAAAGTGTCGTTACCGTGCGCCTTGGATGGAACCGGTATGAGAGCTGAGAGGAGGGCCTGAGATTCGTGCCAACATTACTGTGATGTTGACGTTTACTCTTATTCAGAGGGGTTGGGTTAAATGCGGAAGACACATTTCGGTTGAATGCATTCAGTTGTGCAACTGACTAGGTATCCCCTTTCCCTAGCTGGAGCCCCAAGTAGACAATCTGCTGAGCTGGCCATGGCGGGCTCTTTTCACAATTCACTGCAAAACCTAGACGCGTGAGATGCATCACCAGTCTCATCGTGTGTGTGATTGCCAGGTTTACTGACTGGGAAGAACCAACAGGTCATCTAAATAAGCCAGGACCCTGACTCCTTGATGACGCAATGGCTCTATAGCTGCTTCCACACATTTGGAAAAGGTCAGAGGGGCCAGAGAGTAACCGAATGGCACTCTCGTGTATCGCCTGGAAGGCGAAACTGAGAAACTTCCTGTGACGCGGTGTCACCGGCACATGAAAGTATGCATCCTTCAGGTCTATACTCGTGCAAAAGTCGTTTGGGTGGATACATTCCATCAGATGTTTTGTCGTGAGCTTGCGAAAGGGCTGTTTGGCCACACTCTTGTTCAGGGTGCGCAGGTCCAAGATGGGCCTCACCCCTCCTGTCTTTTTTTGAAACCAGGAAATTGGGCGATTAAAACCCTGTTTCTCTATTCTGGGCGAACCCCTGTGACCGCCTCCTTTGCCAGTAATTGCACGCAGCTGGGGAGCGTTTATTAGAAAATTGTCTGAATTCCTCTATGGCCCTGTCCGCCACTGGCCACCGGTTGTAACACGGTGGCACAGCCCAAGGCGGGCCCTTTGTGAAAGGGAGAGGAAACACAGTCAGGCTCTGTGGAATCTGGTGGCGCCGTTACGATGGTTACGTGCGTAATGGCAGTAAGGGCTTCAACTGATAGCAGAGGCAGGCTCAGGCTGTGGCCCTGTACGTGGGCCAAAGCTAATCCCTGCTGCCTGCTCCAAAGGGGGCTGGTAGTGGGTCGGAGCCCTCATTGTCACATGCGCCGTCTTCTCTGATGAGCACTGGACACGTGAGCCAGAGATATGAATGTCTGACATTACACGCCTGAAAAGGGCCAATACACCTCTGGACAGAGAGTGAGAGAGAGGAGCAACCTGAGAGATCATATGTTTGTCATGGAAAAGGTGATCCTTTGTGGAAAAGGGGCTCCTCCAACAGGAGCGTGGGGGATGATGGAGGTAAAACTGGTCAGAGTCTGTTCCCCCATCTGCTCCCCCGCTTTGTGTCAAACGCGGCGTCGCGTCTGGGTCAACTGGCGGCGCAGCGGTATCTGGGACAGCAGGAGTGTTGGTTGGAGCTGCCGCCTGGCTCGGTACCGGGCTGTAGACCCCGGTCTCTGAGATGAGGAGGATGACAAGATGGCCGTCGATGCTGTAAGGCTGACGTCGCCAAGAGCAGATGTTTGGTCAGCTGCTTCCTCCACTCCTCCGATTTCCCAAAGTGCTCCATCGCCTCCACCACAGCAGCTCCGAAGAGCCTTCTTGGAGATAGGTGTGTTGAGCAACCTCTCTGGCTCCTTCATGGCAGTGAGAGAGAGCCACAGGTGCTGGTGAGCCACAGGTGCTCAGGAAATCCAAGCCACTTCATGCGCACGATGGTGCACGCAGACGCACGGAGCCGGTTTGGTCAGCATGTTAGAGAGGGAGAGCCAGGCGACTCCTCCAAGTAGTCGTCGTAATCGCAAGGAGCAGGGCCAGCGTTATGGGCGGGTCTTACGGGGTCCGGCACGCCCTACCGTACCTCCTTGCCTGTCCAAATAAAATATTGAAATATTTATCATTTATTTGACCGAGACGCACACCGACAGAAAGACGAATCAATCTCAGATAAAGCATCCGAGCAAGCAAAACAGCGACCATGTGTCTCAGTATGTGTAGACAATGTATCGGATGCTGTCTGGACCAAAAGGGTATGACATGTCAAACTATTTTTGGCCAGACTGCATCAGATACATGGGCTATATATAGTAAGACAGAGGGGCGCTGTTTCGCTCACTTGGATTCTTTCTCCGGTGACAGAGTTTCTCCGAAGCGAGTGGGCTCACTCTCGCCTAAATCGGTCCAGAATAAGCCCAATGCGTATGTATGGGCATAATATGCAGACATAAGCTTGTCGCCTGCCTTCCCGCCTTTGGGACAACGACTCCAATTGTTAGGGTGGAGACATTAGCATCTCGTCATTATATACAGATCTCTGGTTTCAGCCTCTTGCGAATTTAAAAAAACAAATCACAAGTGTGTAGGCCTATTTGGGAATCCAGCAATTTGGGCAGCCTGCGTGGCAATATGTCTAGCTGATTGAGTTGCGGCTATCAGTGAAAAGCATCTAAGATATGTGTGAAGATAATGTGTCTTGAGTTTAAATTAAACTGTTGCAACAAGACAAAGGGTGTGTGGCAAAGATATGGCGTGTCTCTCTCCAGAATGCGTATACACAGCTCTTCAGAATGCGCTCAGCTGTCTCCCGCCAATTCTTGCCCATTCATTGTTTCATTGTGTGAATTGTTTTCCCTTTGATGGTTTATATTTTTATCAATTCCACATTACATATATCACCAGTAGGCCTCGTAAATGTACTGTTAATCCCTCATCATTTGTATACATAACTTTCTATTAATGCATTTATTATTTAAAGTCATTTACCATTCTCGGAGTGGAAACGTTGTTTGCAGAGTTCACAACCTGCTACAATTGTGAGAAACAAGTTTTAGTTTATTTCATAACCATTACGAGTTTTGTCAATCTTTTCATTGTCTTTTGTTTGGAGTGCTCCGTGAGCAATGAGCATGTGTCTGGTTTCTCTGTCCTGAAAACGTTGAGGGAGCACGCGTGCCTGAGCATGCATAGAAGTAGGCTTACCTGGCCTGCTGCATGTAAATGTAGGAAAGGGCCCATTTGGCAATGTCTGATTGTCTTAACTCAACAAGTCCACAACTAATAAGCTGAGATTCTCAGTCATTATTTCTTCACCTCACACATTGTAAACAAAGCCTGTTTTTTTAACATACATTGAAAATGATAGTTCCTCAGTATTTGAAAAATCTTTCCAACACTCCCGGCCTCGATAATCACCAAGCCTCTGTGTGAAACAACAAAATATCATGATCCCATATATCCTGTAGAAAGGTCATAAAAAAACAGCTGTCTCTCCCGAGTTCACCAGCTTGGACACTGAGGGCCCGAACCCCCAGCGTACTCATGACGACGTAGGATGACTTGATATCCTACAGTGAGGGGAAAAAAGTATTTGATCCCCTGCTGATTTTGTAAGTTTGCCCACTGACAAAGACAAGATCAGTCTATAATTTTAATGGTAGGTTTATTTGAACAGTGAGACAGATTAACACAAAAAAAATCCAGGTAAACGCATGTCAAAAATGTTATAAATAGATTTGCATTTTAATGAGGGAAATAAGTATTTGACTCCTCTGCAAAACATGACTTAGTACTTGGTGGCAAAACCCTTGTTGGCAATCACAGAGGTCAGACGTTTCTTGTAGTTGGCCACCAGGTTTGCACACATCTCAGGAGGGATTTTGTTCCACTCCTCTTTGTAGATCTTCTCCAAGTCATTAAGGTTTCGAGACTGACGTTTGGCAACTCGAACCTTCAGCTCCCTCCACAGATTTTCTATGGGATTAAGGTCTGGAGACTGGCTAGGCCACTCCAGGACCTTAATGTGCTTCTTCCTGAGCCACTCCTTTGTCGCCTTGGCCGTGTGTTTTGGGTCATTGTCATGCTGGAATACCCATCCACGACCCATTTTCAATGCCCTGGCTGAGGGAAGGAGGTTCTCACCCAAGATTTGACGGTACATGGCCCCGTCCATCGTCCCCTTGATGCGGTGAAGTTGTCCTGTCCCCTCAGGGGGACCTTGCGGGCGCTGCAGGATTTCAGTCCTTCACGGCGTAGTGTGTTACCAATTGTTTTCTTGGTGACTATGGTCCCAGCTGCCTTGAGATCATTGACAAGATCCTCCCGTGTAGTTCTGGGCTGATTCCTCACCGTTCTCATGATCATTGCAACTCCACGAGGTGAGATCTTGTATGGAGCCCCAGGCCGAGGGAGATTGATAGTTATTTTGTGTTTCTTCCATTTGCGAATAATCGCACCAACTGTTGTCACCTTCTCACCAAGCTGCTAGGCGATAGTCTTGTAGCCCATTCCAGCCTTGTGTAGGTCTACAATCTTGTCCCTGACATCCTTGGAGAGCTCTTTGGTCTTGGCCATTGTGGAGAGTTTGGAATCTGATTGATTGATTGCTTCTGTGGACAGGTGTCTTTTATACAGGTAACAAACTGAGATTAGGAGCACTCCCTTTTAAGAGTGTGCTCCTAATCTCAGCTCGTTACCTGTATAAAAGACACCTGGGAGCCAGAAATCTTTCTGATTGAGAGGGGGTCAAATACTTATTTCCCTCATTGGATTTCTGGATTTTTTGTTGTTGTTATTCTGTCTCTCACTGTTCAAATAAACCTACCATTAAAATTATAGACTGTTCATTTCTTTGTCAGTGGGCAAACATACAAAATCAGCAGGGGATGAAATACTTTTTTCCCTCACTGTACGACGGTTTCGTCAACTTATTTTCTTCGTAGGTTCTTTAGCTTCTTCAAGTCGTGCTGAAAATAACTGGGAGGCTGATTGAGGGAAGTAGCCTCAACATACACTGAGTATACTCTTTCCATGACATAGACTGACCAGGTGAATCGAGGTGAAAGCTATGATCCCTTATTGATGTCAATTGTTAAATCCACTTCAATCAGTGTAGATGAATGGGAGGAGACAGGTTAAAGAAGGATTTTAAGCCTTGAGACAATTGAGACATGGATTGTGTATGTGTGCCATTCAGAGGGTGAATGGGCAAGACAAAAGATTTAAGTGCCTTTGAACGGGGTATGGTTGTAGGTGCCAGGCGCACTGGTTTGTATCAAGAACTGCAACGCTGCTGGGTTGTTCACGCTCAACAATTTCCCGTGTGTATCAAGAATGGTTCGCCACCCAAAGGACATCCAGCCAACTTGACACAACTGTGGGAAGCATTGGAGTCAACATGGGCCAGCATCCCTGTGGAACGCTTTCGACACCTTGCAGAATCCATTAGGAATGAAACGGAATCCAAAGGAAGGTGTTCCTAATGTTTGCTATACTCAGTGTATAGGGGCACCTGTACTCTCATAGTCTGAAGATGCGTGCATAATTAATTTTCTCAGGCGATGCTGCCTCTGCAGCTGAGTAAACCAATAGGGGCGGAGCTCTACGATATATAACTCTGCGCTCTAAGCGGGGACGGTTGTGATTGGCCAGTATATGTATGCCATGCGAGAGAGCCCGCTTGTGATTGGTCAGCATCCTCTGTGCATGTAGAGAAAGACTGAACGGAGTCTAGCGCATCTCATTCGAAGAGGTACCGTAGTTTAGTTTTTGTTGTATTAATGGAGTGTTAAAGAAAGGAGAATATGGATATTGCACATGTCAATATCGCAATTTCGATCTGAATTTGATTAATCATGCAGCCCTAAAAACACACACACAAGCACACACCTACCTGTAGAGGCGGAAGTCCTCTTCAGAGAATACATCTGTTATCTGCTCCCCAAAGTACCTGTCATCAGCCACGCAGGCAGAGAGAACAGAACCAGGCTATTAGCATACATTACCATCCAGCAACCCACAGACAGCACAGTGCACTGCACAATTACCCAAGAGGCCACGACACGGCAGCTTTCCAAACAGGGCAAGATAAAGAAGCAGGTGGATTGCAGGAGATGCCACTGTTATGGAAGCCTGATAGAGCGAGTGAGTGAGGGTTATATTAATGGTTCAGTTAGTTAGTAGTGTAGCCATAGAAATATAATCTAGATTATATTTCTATGAGTGTAGCAGCCAGCTGCACCAGGATTGTATAGCTGGGGGAGGGCAAATGAGACAGAGATTTACAGTCAGAGTAGGGCTAGGCAATATGGCCAAAATATCATTTCACAATATTTTTCAAATTTTTGATGGTATGGTGGTATTTGATGGTATTTTAAGTTTCAGAAAATTCAAAGTTCTTAATATGTTTTATGAGTAGTGAATGACCCTAGAATGGCAACAAATGAATGGGCTTCTCTGTTCTAATGGTTTTACACTCAACCAAACTAGGACAAAACTGACAGTGAAGTAGTCAAATTTGTAGAACTTTGCGTTTATTTAGCATTGTATCAAAATACCTTTATAAACGGTATTGTAAAAATCCATAGATCCGGTAAAGAGCCATGGAAACACATGGGAGAAAGATGCCGTGGGGGAAAGATGCCGAATCTCCTCATTGCCCCCCAGCAGAAATGTGCCTATACAATTAGGCTACTGTTTGTGTGTATTTTACACTATGTTGAGGTAAAAAAACGGAGTATAATGCTTGTATGGGTGTCAACCCCAATACATGTTCATGTCATCGTCACCAATTAACTCCATTGCAGTTAAAAAACGACTTTGTCTACCACCACCGATTTCTGTACGCTAGCTATGCTACCAGCTTATACGAACGGGAGTTAGCATTTATCAGTCACGTCTTCTAAACCTGAAAAGTAACAACTTCTAAATGTTATGGAGCGAAAAGAGCCAAATACTGTATATCCAAATCGGACTTTAGTGACCACATTGTGGGCCTGTTAGAATACATCAATCGTTACGGATTTTACAAATATACACTTTGTTAGAGCAGATGTATTTAATGTACGCCAATCCGGCGTCCTTCTTCTATTCCCCAATGTCTGCGTTCCATTGACCTCTTTACCGCATCTATACCGGTATGTGGATCCATACCGGTATACCCGGGAGTTCTGTGGAGGAGACGGCATGCCTAATGAAGAGCTCTGGGCCTTTCTACTATCTGACTGACGTTTCTCCCTGCCTGTCTGTATCGTCGATGCTCCCTCTGCTCAAGCTACTGACTGCCTTTCCGAACTGCTTCAAGACATCTGAAGTTGTGGAAGATGATCAACCATGAACTGCCAGATCTATACATTTGTTTTTGTTTTCAAAGTGACTTTGAAATTCTTGTTTGTAATGAAAAAAGTGCTATATAAATTATGATTATTACTATTATGAGTTTAAAAGGGAAAAGACACTGGATCAGAGAGCGAGCGAGATAGAGAGAGAGAGGAGAGAGAGAGAACTGTTCACTCCTCCTCACCTGTAGATGTTGACAAACTGCTTCCCCATCGACAGAGCCCCAGAGTGCAGGTCGAGGATGGAAGCCTGGAGGCCAGAAAAATTAGAATAAGAAAACACGCAAATTATTAGAACTAATTTCAGTCTACTTCTCTGCCCTTTACTTGTTATTGTTGTTTATTGGTTTATTCTGATCCCAATTAGCTTTTGCCGAAGCAGCAGCTATTCTTCCTGGGGTCCACAAAAAACATGACAAGTAACAAAACACTGATACACTGATAGACAAGGACAGTCACACAAAATGAAAATACAATGATATACAGTGGGGGAAAAAAGTATTTAGTCAGCCACCAATTGTGCAAGTTCTCCCACTTAAAAAGATGAGAGAGGCCTGTAATTGTCATCATAGGTACACGTCAACTATGACAGACAAAATGAGAAAAAAAAATCCTGAAAATCACATTGTAGGATTTTTTATGAATTTATTTGCAAATTATGGTGGAAAATAAGTATTTGGTCAATAACAAAAGTTTCTCAATACTTTGTTATATACCCTTTGTTGGCAATGACACAGGTCAAACGTTTTCTGTAAGTCTTCACAAGGTTTTCACACACTGTTGCTGGTATTTTGGCCCATTCCTCCATGCAGATCTCCTCTAGAGAGTGATGTTTTGGGGCTGTCGCTGGGCAACACAGACTTTGAACTCCCTCCAAAGATGTTCTATGGGGTTGAGATCTGGAGACTGGCTAGGCCACTCCAGGACCTTGAAATGCTTCTTACGAAGCCACTCCTTCGTTGCCCGGGCGGTGTGTTTGGGATCATTGTCATGCTGAAAGACCCAGCCACGTTTCATCTTCAATGCCCTTGCTGATGGAAGGAGGTTTTCACTCAAAATCTCACGATACATGGCCCCATTTATTCTTTCCTTTACACGGATCAGTCGTCCTGGTCCCTTTGCAGAAAAACAGCTCCAAAGCATGATGTTTCCACCCCCATGCTTCACAGTAGGTATGGTGTTCTTCGGATGCAACTCAGCATTCTTTGTCCTCCAAACACGACGAGTTTAGTTTTTACCAAAAAGTTCTATTTTTGGTTTCATCTGACCATATGACATTCTCCCAATCCTCTTCTGGATCATCCAAATGCACTCTAGCAAACTTCAGACGGGCCTGGACATGTACTGGCTTAAGCAGGGGGACACGTCTGGCACTGCAGGATTTGAGTCCCTGGCGGCGTAGTGTGTTACTGATGGTAGGCTTTGTTACTTTGGTCCCAGCTCTCTGCAGGTCATTCACTAGGTCCCCCCGTGTGGTTCTGGGATTTTTGCTCACCGTTCTTGTGATCATTTTGACCCCACGGGGTGAGATCTTGCGTGGAGCCCCAGATCGAGGGAGATTATCAGTGGTATTGTATGTCTTCCATTTCCTAATAATTGCTCCCACAGTTGATTTCTTCAAACCAAGCTGCTTACCTATTGCAGATTCAGTCTTCCCAGCCTGGTGCAGGTCTACAATTTTGTTTCTGGTGTCCTTTGACAGCTCTTTGGTCTTGGCCATAGTGGAGTTTGGAGTGTGACTTTTTGAGGTTGTGGACAGGTGTCTTTTATACTGATAACATGTTCAAACAGGTGCCATTAATACAGGTAACGAGTGGAGGACAGAGGAGCCTCTTAAAGAAGAAGTTACAGGTCTGTGAGAGCCAGAAATCTTGCTTGTTTGTAGGTGACCAAATACTTATTTTCCACCATAATTTGCAAATAAACTCATTAAAAATCCTACAATGTGATTTTCAGGAAAAAAAAATCTCAATTTGTCTGTCATAGTTGACGTGTACCTATGATGATTACAGGCATCTCATCTTTTTAAGTGGGAGAACTTGCACAATTGGTGGCTGACTAAATACTTTTTTCCCCACTGTACAAAAAAATTAATAATAATAATAGTACAAACAATACAACAACAAAAGATAGTGTGTTGGAGTGTGTGTGCATGTTTGTCCCCTCACAGTCCCGCCAGTCCATGAAATGTTGTTGTTTGATCTTTTTTTTAAAGGTAATTTTGCTGTTTGCTTCCATGCGATCATGGCTCTGTATAATACTGTGCGTTGCCGTAAATTCGTTTTGGACTTGGGGAGTGTGAAGAGACCCCTGGTGGCATGTCTTGTGGGGTATGTATGGGTGTCTGAGCTAAATATCATTTAAAATAGGCAGACAATCTGGAATTTTCTTTACAGTAAAACTAGAAGAGAAGCAGTTAATCTCTCGTCAACCCTCAACCAGGAAAGACTGGCATGCATGTTGTTGATGTTAGTTCTGTATATGCAGTTTTGAGCCAGCTGCAGCTTTGCTAGGTATTTCTTTGCTGCACTTGACCATATTACCAGACAGTAATCAAGATGGGACAAGACCAGAGCCTGAACAACTAGTACAGTAGATGTGTCAAAAACGCAGAACATATTTTTATAACAGACATACCCCATCCCATCTTCACAACAACTTTGTCAATAAGACTTGACCATGATAATTGACCATCCAATGTTATACCTAGGAGTTTAGCTTCCTCAACTTGGTCAATGGTCACACCCTTTATACACAACTCCAACTGTTTAGGTCTTAGAGAATGTTTTGAACCAAATACAATGCTTTTAGTTTTAGATGTATTTAAGACCACTTCATTATTAATCACCCATTCTGATCCTGACTGTATTTAGAATTTCAGTGAGCTCACTGGCTTTGGGTGCTGACATTCTAATTCTGTGTAAGACCAGTGGCAAATAATTTGTAAAAATAGAGAAGAGTAAGGGCCCAAGGCAATTGCCCTGAGGGACACCGCACTGTACATATCTGATGTTAGAGTAGCTTCCATTGAAGAACACTCTGGGTTCTATTGGATAAAGAACTCTCCAACCATGTGATGGCAGATGATGTAAAGCCATAGCAAGTGAGTTTCTTCAATAACAATTTATTATCAATAACATCAAAGGATGCACTGAAATCTAACAATAAAGCGCCAACTATCGTCTTATTATCCATTTATTTTAACAAATTGTCTGTCATCGGAGTCAGTGCAGTACAAGTTGAGTGCCCTTCTCTATATGCATGCTGAAAGTCAGTAGTTTCAATGTTTAAAATAGCATTGTATTTGGTCAAACACAATTCTCTACCCCCAGCAAACTGATTGGGTGGCTGTTAGAGCCAGCAAAGGGTGCTTTACTCTTTTTAGGCAGTGGAATTACCTTAGCTTCCTTCCACGCCTGTGGACACACACACTCCTTTAGGATTTGGTTAAAGATATAGCAAATAGGGGTGGCAATAGTCTGCTACCATTCTCAATACTTTCCCATCAAAGTTGTCTATCCTGGTGGCCTATCATTATTGATGGATAATAATAGTTTTTCCACCTCTCCCACACGAACTTTACCAAATTCAAAACAGCAATCCTTCTCTTTCATATTAGATCTTACACACAAAAATACAATGTTTCACTGCTGTCATTTCACTTCTGAGTTTTTCCATTTTACTAGTGAAATAGTAATTGAAATGATAGCCAATATCGAAAGGGTTTTTAGGCTACACTTTTAGGGTATGGCAGTATCCCGGGACAGATAGTAGCGGTTCCATCAACTGAGGCTAACCACGTCGCGGGATACAAATTAAACAGCTGTCTGCTACCCAGGGATACTATGCTCTCTCTTAGCCTGTAAATAAATCATGTTTCTTTTTTCAGATGTCCCCCGTTGCTTCCACTCCCCTCACTACAGTCTCTTACATTACATATATATACATTTTGCAGACGCTCTTATCCAGAGCGACTTACAGTTAGTGAGTGCATACATTTTCATACTGGCCCCCCGTGGGAAACGAACCCACAACCCTGGCGTTGCAAGCGCCATGCTCTACCAACTGAGCTACATAAACAATCACTTATTATGGCTGTGGACAAGGCCTACAGGAGATGGAGGGAAGAAAGGACGGAGAGGGGTCAACCAAGCAGCCATGTACAATAGCATTACACACTAACTGTATCAGCCCATCTGAACTGAACTTTGGATGTTGTACCCATAGGAATTAGAATTTAATAGGATCTCTATGGTAGTACCACCCTGACCTCTACTGGAGACAGAGGGAAGATACAGCTGAAGTCTGAGCAACAGTCTTCATCCTAGCTTTTGGTCCTGTTTAAGTTCAAATATTTGTTACTAAAAGTAGATACTCACCCCTCCATCTGAACCAGCTAGAGCCAGACCCCTCTCTGCCAACCTGCAGGAGTAGAGAAATAAGTTAAGTTAGGGAAAAGGAAAGAGATGTGTGTGTGGGGGGGGGGGGGGGGGCAGGGGGTTGGAGCTAGAGACAGAGAAGAAAGAGAGATAGTATAGAATCCCTCACCTCCTGAGGGCCATGGCCTCCTCCCTGGTCACCGAGTTGTCTGTGATGGCTCGGCCACATGTTTGGGGAGTGCATCCTGGGAAAAACAGTATCTCAGATCAGCTGCAACATGACAGTAGAAACTTCAGCCTGCCTGCTCACCTTTGTCCAAATCACCACTAGAGGGCAGCCAATGCACAGGAATGGCAGAGCAGTTAGGTAATAATAATAATAATAATAATAATAATAATAATAATAATATAGGACAGTGGACACCAGCGGTGAATTCAGTTCGCTTGAACATTTGCTATGTTGCAGAGCGGTTTGTACTGAATGACACATTCGTTCAGTACAGCATAGTTTCCGTTCAATTGAATGCTCCAGAACGTAAAAACGTATTGAATGCAGCCCAGCCCTATACACTATGAAAGACCCACCTACTTCCTGGATCATGTCCTATACTGTTTTGAATGGGATTCAAGATTATAATTGACTTCTATCCAATGCCTTTTATAAAGGTTTTCGATTATGAAAAAGCAATGTAAAACGTTCATGAAAGGCATCAGGTAAAAGTAAATTAATCCACGAATACAAATATAATTTGACATATATCTTAAATGACCACGTTTTCATGAATTTGATCATATAATCTTAAAACTCATTCAAAAACAGTATGAGACATGATCCCGGAAGTAGGCGGGACTTTCATAGCGTATTCCCCAACTAGGGCAAGGAAGTGTGCAGGCTTTTATTCTAACCGTGCACTAATGCATCTAATTCAAGTAAACTCTTTATATGGCATGCATAACTCACAGATTGTTGCTTTAAGACAAATCTGTGTTGTTTTAAACCCACCTGGGTAGCGTTTGTAGTTCTCATAGTCCTCAGAACAATCCACAGTGTAGACCCTTGGCTGAGCAATCACCTCGGCCTGTCTGACCAGGGTCTCTGTGGTGTAAGGGTCCCCTGAGGCCAGGTAGAGCCAGGTGAGGGTTCCCACCACAGCAAGGGCCGCCACCACCACTACTAGCAGAGAGCCACGGGACCCCCGCCATGCTGACGCCTGCCTCAGAGCATTACCCCTGGGAGAGGACAGGAGAGAGGAAGTTTGGTTTGATTATCCTGGAGTGAAACGAGAAGAGAAAAAAAAGACTCCCCTCTTTCCCTCTCCCACCCTTTCTTATTCACACACACAATATATATATATATATATATATATATATATATATATATACACACACAATTCTGCCGACCGAATAGCCAATAAAATTAACTTTACCTCGGTGCCGAACCGAACCATAAACCTACTTGCTCTCTAGAAAGTTGAGTAAACAATACTTTCCTGGGGATATTTTGTCTCAAATTTTGAACAGCTAAAGAACAAACCGCACAGACAACCGGTAGAGTAAGTTCAAATGTAATTTTATTCAATATTCTGGCTTGTAAGGAACATTTACACGATTTTGCACTCCAATGTTTCAGGATGTATATATACCAATTAATTGTGTATTACTACAGCCGGTTTAATCAGACTACCCTGGCCATGCATGTCGTTAACGTTACCTTTTGATCTTTTTCTCAATCCCGTTGGCGTCTGGGATTTTCGAATTTCCTCGCCGTTGTATCGTCATTGTATAATGCAAAGCCTTTTTCAGTGGACATTCATAAAGATTTATAGCTAGCTACTTCTTTTCATGCAGAAATAGTAGAGGATTTCAGATTACCTTTACCACTACTCGACATTGCTTCCTGGTCAATGCGTAACAGTCCCTCTGGTTGGCTCCTGAAGAATGAAACCTGCGTTTTAATTGGACCACATCACGCAAATCGATTGCTCTGCAAGCCAAGTCAAAGTCAATCAACTGACTATCTGCACCTCAATCTGTTTACATTGATGGGCGTGTACTCTTGCGTTGTGGCCTGGAGTGCGTTCAATTCCGTTAATCGTTTGCTATGTTGAGTGACGGTTTGTACTGAACAACACGTTTCCCCAAAACGGTGCACACTGCCCACCGTTCTTCAACAACTTTTGAGGTACGTTTGCTCCCGTTTCGTGGGTGTGGCCAACTATTATCTATTATATTGACAAGATAGTCGAGTGACCGCTCTAACAATGCAAATACATGTCCTCAAAGATGGAAGGCAGGCGGGAGGAGACGAGATAACTGTGATGCGCTGTCTGACGGGGAAGGAGTGGGGGGCTGGGCGTTCCTCATTGAAGACCATGTATGTTGCATTGATCCGATCTGTAATAGACTATGGTAGTATAGCATAAGGTTCGGCAGCCCGGCCTCACTGGAAAGGCTAGATGTCATATAGGGGCAAGGACACAGAATATGTAGTGGGGCGTTTCGGACGTCCCCAGTGGCTGCATTACAGGTGGAGATAGGAGATATGCCATTGCAGAGTAGGAGACAGCAGCTGGCAATGAATTATTGGGTCAACATACACGGACATGGAGTGTCTCATCCTGCGAAAGGGATTTTACAGGCATGCTGGGAACATGAGCGAAGACAGAACACAAGCTTTGGGTGGGTGGGTAATACCCAGGCGAAGGAGATGGGACTGTATGGAAGGGAGTTTAGTCCAACAGTAGTTATTCCTGTAAATCCACCATGGTTACTCCCGCCACCAGTAGTTGATCTAGAAGTGTTGGAGAGACTACAGAAAGATAGGGAGGGTGTTGATCCACCTGATTTCTTTAAGAGACGTCTGGAAACTGTGTATCAGGATTTTGTGGCCATTTACACAGATGGTTCAAAAGATCCAAGGACAGGACGTACTGGGTCAGAATTTGTAGGGCCGGAATGTCGGGTGGAAGTCAGGAAACGTATAACAGATCATCTGGCTGTATATACAGCGGAGCTTATGGCCATACTATTGGCCTTGCAGTGGGTGGAGGAAATCAATAAAGACAGAGTAGTTATTTGCTCTGATTCATGTGCAGTGTTAATGAGTCTCCAGTCCTTTAGCTCACGTAGCATACAAGACCTGCTTTATGAGGTGCTAGAAACCCATGGCAGGAATAAAAAGATGGGTATTCAGATAAGATGTACTTGTGTCCCAGCCAATGTGGGGGTGGAGGGGAACGAGGCAGTAGATGAACAGGCTAAACAAGCACTTAGTAGTGGGGATGTTGATGTTGAAGTTTCAATGAGCAAGGCAGAGGCAAAAAGACTGATATATTCAGTGATGGTGCAGAGATGGCAGGAGCAGTGGAATAGAGATAATAAGGGAAGGCATTTATTTCAAGTACAGAGGAAAGTCGGGGAGGGAAGGACGGCAGGAGGGGACAGAAGAGAGGAGGCTATTTTTACAAGATTAAGGGTGGGACACATCCAGTTGAATAAGACATTAAATGTGACAGGAAAGCATCCAACAGGAAAATGTGATTATTGTCAGGAAAAACAGACCGTGGAGCATGTATTGCTACATTGTGGGCAGTATCAGAGGGAAAGAGAGAGGATGAGATCTAGTATGAGGGAGAAGGGGATACAGGAAATTAGTTTAAAGAGTATATTGAGTAGAACGTCATTAGATATAATCTCAAATATTTTTATGTATTTTTTAAGAGCAACGGGGGCTGCCAGGTGCAGTCTCTGGCCCACACTCCAGTACAGTAGGTGGCGGTAATGCACCATAACGTTGGATGCCAACCGCCGATAAACCCCACTGAAGAAGAAGAAGAAGAAGAGGAGACAGCTCAAGTGGGACCATTCTAGACCATGAGAGGGTAGATACCAGGGAAGCACGACTGCCCTCTCGCATTGAGGATTATAATTTGAAGGCCAACCACGGTACTTTACTACAGATGTACAGTTGAAGTCGGAAGTTTACATACACTTAGGTTGGAGTCATTAAAACTTGTTTTTCAACCACTCCACACATTTCTTGTTAACAAACTATACAGTGGGGAAAAAAAGTATTTAGTCAGCCACCAATTGTGCAAGTTCTCCCACTTAAAAAGATGAGAGAGGCCTGTAATTTTCATCATAAGTACACGTCAACTATGACAGACAAAATGAGAAAAAAAATCCAGAAATCACATTGTAGGATTTTTAATGAATTTATTTGCAAATTATGGTGGAAAATAAGTATTTGGTCAATAACAAAAGTTTCTCAATACTTTGTTATATACCCTTTGTTGGCAATGACACAGGTCAAACGTTTTCTGTAAGTCTTCACAAGGTTTTCACACACTGTTGCTGGTATTTTGGCCCATTCCTCCATGCACAGCTCCTCTAGAGCAGTGATGTTTTGGGGCTGTCGCTGGGCAACACGGACTTTCAACTCCCTCCAAAGATTTTCTATGGGGTTGAGATCTGGAGACTGGCTAGGCCACTCCAGGACCTTGAAATGCTTCTTACGAAGCCACTCCTTCGTTGCCCGGGCGGTGTGTTTGGGATCATTGTCATGCTGAAAGACCCAGCCACGTTTCATCTTCAATGCCCTTGCTGATGGAAGGAGGTTTTCACTCAAAATCTCACGATACATGGGCCCATTCATTCTTTCCTTTACACGGATCAGTCGTCCTGGTCCCTTTGCAGAAAAACAGCCCCAAAGCATGATGTTTCCACCCCCATGCTTCACAGGAGGTATGGTGTTCTTAGGATGCAACTCAGCATTCTTTGTCCTCCAAACACGACGAGTTGAGTTTTTACCAAAAAGTTCTATTTTGGTTTCATCTGACCATATGACATTCTCCCAGTCCTCTTCTGGATCATCCAAATGCACTCTAGCAAACTTCAGATGGGCCTGGACATGTACTGGCTTAAGCAGGGGGACATGTCTGGCACTGCAGGATTTGAGTCCCTGGCGGCGTAGTGTGTTACTGATGGTAGGCTTTGTTACTTTGGTCCCAGCTCTCTGCAGGTCATTCACTAGGTCCCCCCGTGTGGTTCTGGGATTTTTGCTCACCGTTCTTGTGATCATTTTGACCCCACGGGGTGAGATCTTGCGTGGAGCCCCAGATCGAGGGAGATTATCAGTGGTATTGTATGTCTTCCATTTCCTAATAATTGCTCCCACCGTTGATTTCTTCAAACCAAGCTGCTTACCTATTGCAGATTCAGTCTTCCCAGCCTGGTGCAGGTCTACAATTTTGTTTCTGGTGTCCTTTGACAGCTCTTTGGTCTTGGCCATAGTGGAGTTTGGAGTGTGACTGTTTGAGGTTGTGGACAGGTGTCTTTTATACTGATAACAAGTTCAAACAGGTGCCATTAATACAGGTAACGAGTGGAGGACAGAGGAGCCTCTTAAAGAAGAAGTTACAGGTCTGTGAGAGCCAGAAATCTTGCTTGTTTGTAGGTGACCAAATACTTATTTTCCACCATAATTTGCAAATAAATTCATTAAAAATCCTACAATGTGATTTTCTGGATTTGTTTTTCTCAATTTGTCTGTCATAGTTGACGTGTACCTATGATGAAAATTACAGGCCTCTCTCATCTTTTTAAGTGGGAGAACATGCACATTTGGTGGCTGACTAAATACTTTTTTTCCCCACTGTAGTTTTGGCAAGTCGGTTAGGACATCTACTTTGTTCATGACACAAGTAATTTTCCCAACAATTGTTTACAGACAGATTATTTCACTTATAACTCACTGTATCACAATTCCAGTGGGTCAGAAGTTGACATACACTAAGTTTACTGTGCCTTTAAACAGCTTGGAAAATTCCAGAAAATTATGTCATGGCTTTAGAAGCTTCTGATAGGCTAATTGACATCATTTGTGTCAATTGGAGGTGTACCTGTGGATGTATTTCAAGGCCTACCTTCAAACTCAGTGCCTCTTTGCTTGACATCATGGGAAAATCAAAAGAAATCAGCCAAGACCTCAGAACAAGAATGTGTAGACCTCCACAAGTCTGGTTCATCCTTGGGAGCAATTTCCAAACATCTGAAGGTACCACGTTCATCTGTACAAACAATAGTAGGCAAGTATAAACACCATGGGACCACGCAGCCGTCATACCGCTCAGGAAGGAGACGTGTTCTGTCTAATAGAGATGAACGTACTTTGGTGCGAAAAGTGCAAATCAATCCCAGAACAACAGCAAAGGACCTTGTGAATATGCTG